GCGTGGCAAGAACGGACACTACAATAATTTAGATTTGTTTCACAACACTCTGATGCTCTTCGTCAATTTCCACACCGTCTCCTGCCGAGAATAAAGGCAATCGACTGAAAATTCTTGTGAAAGTATTGACCCAGATACGCGGGTCGACGCGGCCAGTGTACAGAAACATCGAATGTCACTTTTTATTTTCAAAACATGTCGGCTTCTAAGTCCTGCGAGTTTCTACAACGTAACAAAATAATTACTGTTTTAAAATGTATTCTAATGTAGTGGTGTTAATTACCATAGACGTTAATTAAAATAACATGACATTCTAACAAACCCAGAGCGACAAGAACAAGTTTTGACAGACAAAATTATATAACCGGAGTAGATCAGTACATCTTAACATACCTAAAATTGGCTGCATCTTAATTATAATACACATAGCAACAAATACTAAGTATAAGCTTGTTAAAGATGTGTGATATACGAAATTTCATTATTGCCTTGCTGTTTATTTGAATAAATATCCTGGCAAGGAAAACATTGGTTGACGACACCATAGGACTCGTAAGTAGATACCGACGTCTCCATCTTAGCCCTGAAGATGGAGAAGGTATGTTTCTCCGAAACGTTGGTATCTATCTGTGAGTCCACACGGCGTCACAACACAAAAGAACATCGTCATATTCAATGCCGTGAGCACCTCAAATCTAACGATATTCAAGGAAACTTATGAACTTTCTCAGCAAAACCTGTGCTTTTGAAAATTCAGTTTTGTGCACCAACAACAAGTGGAAGTCACGTATTATGCGGCCTGTTTGTGGCCTTTCATTGTCTACTACAATTCATAATGATTTGGCCTTCATGTGTGATGGGCACACCTGAATACGACACACCCACATTTGTTGATAATCAACTACAATTCAACAATCTACTAATTCCTTATTTAATATTATTTTAAGCCTTCTTCAGTTTCACTCCAGTCTTTATCATTCTTTTAAAGTAAAGTATTCCCTTTATCAGTCACTGGCATAACACATATTTCGTGAAAGACAGGAAACACTGAGAACACAAACAAGAGATGCTGATAAAAGTTTTAGTGCAGGAAGTGAGACTTAGCAGAATTGACAAATATGTTGATTCATTCGTTGTTAATTATTTATTGACTCATTTTGAAGTACAGAAATTTCATAGGTACATTCTGGATGAGAAGATAGTCCTGAATGTTAATTAGGCCTAAGCAACATTTGCAAGAACACAGTAATGGCCTCTTTCCTTCTACAGCCCAGGAAAAAAACAAAACTTGTCTGTTAGGATGACAGTAAACTAGCTCAGGTTCAAAATGAGTATCTCCTGAACACTGTAATAAACCATTCAGTTATTGTCTTCAATTATGTAGTGGTGTTTGAACCATAACAAACCTGACAATTATACCACCATGACTGTGATAATGAATTAGGAAACGTAATTTTGTAAGATTTGAGGTTTTCACAGCGGTGAGTATGCAGATTTCTGTCTTCTGGGTTGTTGCACCTCCGAAACGTTGGTAAACATCTACCATACTACATGGCGCAACAACCCTGAAGACGGAAATCTTCAAACGTAATTTTCTTCACACCAGATGTAAATAGTTATGCCACACGACGATTTCTTAATTAAATAGCAGCACTTCCTACACAGTATTGATTGAAATAGGGCACATACCACATAAATGTGAGTTTCACATTAAATACAAGATGCTTTGTAGTGACCATTATACTTCTTACACCCCACCAACATTTATTCATCATCATTAAATACAGTTATTATAACAGTTATTCATACTTTCATAATATCATCTTAGGAAAGTATTAAACAATGTGCAATTCCAGTATTTGATAAAATAAAATATTTTGTTAATCAGTGAAAAGTTGTTTTCCTGAACAAATTACTCACACCTTCCCACTCATCTAAATGCTTGAACCATAACATAGTCAAATTAATATCCATTTAAATTAATAAATTATCTTTCTTTAAACCATGTGTTTCTTTGCTTGCAGCACCAATCGAACTTCTTGTTCCTCCAGTAATGACCTTCACATAACATCAATGCAGTGTCAAACATCCAGAAATAAGTAAAAGTTTGATGAAAACAAAATGGCAAAAAAGGTTAACAAAAACCATTATGTGGCCAGCTCACCGACAGAGTCCATGTCTCCTGTGCATGTACACAGAGGCATGGCAAGCACTAACAGGTAAACATACCTCTATCATAATACATTTCCATGCCATGTACAATTTTTTTCACAAAACTCTCCAGTCTGCAATAGATACAACTAACCACACCCCCAAATAAAAAATATTGCCTGCTATACAATGTATGAAGTTGAGAAATCATTTAAGAAACACTAAAGAAGATGGGGACAATTTTAAGCAGTTCTAACATTGCACGCTAATATGTGGATATAATGAACGTTCCTTTGTTTAGCAGGGCATACTCAACAGATGGTGAGGAAAGCCAGCGTGCACCATCAGACAGAACCATGTCCGAGTACATGATAGCCAATGAACGTGCTGCAGCCACCGTGGTGGAGCCTGGCAATAGCAGGAGCCATCGCAGAGACCAACAGAGGAATGGAGCCAGCAAGATGAAGAGCAGTCACTATGACAATGAAGGGTCTGAGATCTATGTAACAAGTGCTGCTTATAAAGCTCCATCAGAGCTCAGGTGAGGTACCTTACATGATGTTCAGAAGCGCCAAGCCTATCAATGAGTACAGGTGGGATAATTTCCTGTAGGGTGACCACTTACTTCCATTCATAAAATAAAGGTTATAAATGTATTAAATTTCACATACACTCACAGTAGACACCTTCAAGAAGGACGATTCTTTTATCATCAAAAGAGTGTACTATATCTAAATTAAAAATGTAACTATTCAGTATGCATGGCACAAAATCCTATAAGACAGTAATCTTCATGATGATGTTGGCAGTAGCAGGCCAACTTAACAATGTGCTTTTTATGTTACAGTCGAGGATCTCGATACAGTCATCACAGTCGAACGCCAAGTCACTATTCTTATCGCAGTGGCCGAGCTCCATCTGAAGTTTCAACAGTGAAGACAAAGACTTCACGCAAAGGTGGTCTTGTAGTTGAGACCATGGCAGCACCAAACCCATTTTGCCCTAACACCAAGGGAATTTGTTGTCTCATGCTGCTTATCAACTTAGGCCTGATTCTCGTTACCCTCGGTCTTGTTATAGTTATCCAGTTATTTCAGCCTCTGTTTGTCTGGTATGTTATTTCGCTTTTATAATACTATAAAACTATTTCCATAAAAACAAGAGTGGTAAAGTGTCCTACAACTCAGAGAACATATATTTTTCTTTGTGATTTTGGAACTCATTGATCTTGATATTCATTTCTTGCTGATACAATCTTGTAGTGAAACAACCAAATTTATTTCTTCATATTACTAAATGTGTAATCTCACAGATTCAAATCTTGTGTTGATATATGTTTTAAACATCTTGGATTCCTTTACTTCAGCAACCTTCTTTATTTTCCTTTGGTTGCCACATCTTGTTACCATTCATATGACATAATATTTACATCAGTTCCAGATACAGCTCAGTGTTATGAAGTAACTATTATACATGTCCTACTTTACATCAATTTCAAATGATATATAAAAAATAAAATGTTTTTAACAGTACACAATTTTGTATGGATGTGTTAATTTAAGAGAGGGAATGGAAATACGTAAAGTTGCCCTTATGTTAATTTAAGAGAGGGAATGGAAATAAAGTTGCCCTTGTGCTAAAATACTATGACCTGATACAGTGGTGAATGCCATGCACTCTTAACCTCAAAATTAAATGGAGGTGAGTGGTCTTCAAGGTGTAACAACTTTACCCATGAGGAAACTACATAGAGTATAATATCCATTGGACAAGAGTCTGTGTGAGCCCTAGAGTTGGTCTTGATGGGGTGGTCATGAGAAAATTCCCTGCCCTTGCATGGGATTAAACTGCCCTATTCTGCTAACTGGATACCAATAGTTTGAGGATTATAAAATTACTAAATTAAAATACTGACTACATAGGATATGCTATGCTTATAATACATGTTGCTAATATATGATTTCAGGATCCTGGGTATTGTGTTTGTCATCTTCGGCTTCTTGACATTAATAGGAAGTCTTATATATTGTGTTATCGTCTGTAAAGATGTCAAGTCACCTAAAGATGTGTCACCTGAAGATCTCTACTGGACACATCACTGGCAAAAGCACATTGGATCACCAGAGATCCACTACAAGGCTGAAGATAAGTATCCAGATGATCGTTACAGTGATCGTTATTCTGTGAGCAAATATTCGGGAAAATACTCAGACAGAGACAGACAAAGTGACCACTACTGAAATGTCATTAAAAATTCTACATGTGAAATTAGAGAAAACTGTAACAATGAACAACGTGTTTCAGTTGGTGTTGAATCAGGTACTTTCAAGTAAAAAATTATCAGTTTTCAATGCCATTTTACTGGACCAGTTATTCAGTTTGTTTTACTATAGGGCATCTAAATACTGTATATTTTCAACTTTATAATAGCTAGTTTTGTAAATAACCCATAAATCTACAGCCAATCATACATACATGTATATTCATAACCCAAAAAGCAGAATGTGCAAAATTCTCCACCAGAGTTTCCCATACTGAGACAAAATTAATTACAATTGCAAAAACCAAGATTTTCCATTTATTATGCATGCCACTTCTTCAGTAAGTTTGAGAAATTGTTAGGAAAATCCAAAGTTCATTTTAGGTATCAAACCTCAATGCAATGCAGACGTGTACTCAATCAAATATTTACACTATCAGTTTCTGTGGTTTTTATATAAAGTATTTTCAATCCAGTGAATATCTCATGAAAAATGTCAAGTCTCTTCGATCTTCAAATACAGAACATCTTAATGGGCTAATACAGTCCAAATATTTTTCAGTTCTTCTAATTTTATGAAGAATATGCCATAAAAATTAAAATATTTGTACACAGTCTGCCTAAAATTTTACATTAATTTTTGTAATTTACACACTTGATACATACTTATAAAATGTAAATTTTGTGTGTTAATTATGCTGAAGTGATAGTTCCTTCATAACACAGCCAGACTCTCATTATGTTTGTATCAAATTAAATGTTCTAACAGAAGCATCTCAACAGTTTTCAGCCTGTAATAAACACCAGCATTTCTTGTCACTGCGTTCAAACCTTGATCAAACAACATTCATCTCAACTCATGATTATTTTAAACTTTCTAAAACCAAGCACACATTTTACACTAAAGTGGTGATAAAAATAAAAGTTGACAATAGTTTGATAGGAGTAAGGGCGCAAGGTAACCTCATGGAAAGTTCACAGTTTAACTAGCAACATAACAGCCTCACTATCCTATTAAATGAATTGTATTTCCAGTGTTGATTATCATGATTATAGCTGAAATAAAAGTCCTGCCATTACTGCTGCAAATTCCATCAAGCTTGTTTAAAGTATTAATACAACATGATGAAGCAGCAAATGTATCTTTTTGTCCAGGTTTTTCTTAAACTGTACTAAAATAATGAAATTTCTTATTTATTGTAATACTGTTATTAATATATATTCATTAACAAAAATGTGGGCTATTATTATAACATTCTCCCATATTGCCTCTTTATTGTATGAACAATAAGGGGCCTTCTAATCTCTTTAATGGCACATGGAAGTTATTACAGAACAAAAATAAACACTGAATTATTCTTGCTTATCAATAATTCAAGTTATGAAGATGAAAGGAGGTGACACCAACATATTTCTTCTCTTATTTACCTACATGACACCACATGGTGAGTGCTTTATGTATTAAACTGCACATGGCTGCTTAGTGAAAAACAGCAGAAGTGGAAGCAGACCATATTATGCATTAAAAACTGGCTTATGATCTCCTAGCAACAAGACAAGAGAAGAAGACAGACAAAGTTGGAAAACAAAGGTTTTACACAACAGGTAAAAAGAGCAGCATTCCAGGTTGCAATTTTAATCCAAATTGATTTCCAGCCATCAGAGGATGATTTGTCAAGTGACAACATATTAGTCTGAAATAACATGCTGGATCACATGGTATGAATGTTGACTTTCATCATGGTGGTTTTCAAAATATAAGCATGCATCAAAATAATTGGAACATTTTTGTTTTCCTGCAGAGTATGTATAGTGCACCATTTATGAACTTCATAAATACAGTCAATACAAAAGGGATTATTTAATGTCATGAAACAAAACCCAGTCATATAACTCATTTGTTAATCCAAAACTCTAAAACATTTTAATTCTTCTCCAGTTCCTTACAATACAAAAAAGACGCACTTCACAGATTATGGTGTTCTGGGTTATGACACTGCAACTACAAGGTACAATAACCCATAAGACCACTGCCGAAACATTTTCACAAGTGTGAAAACCTCGAACATCATACATTGATTGGACAATGTCCCTTGTCTGAGATATATTTTAATATACATGTTTCAAGAGTTGGTTGTATTATTTGTTGCGGCTCCTTAATGATAATTAGATTAGATTAGACCTTTTATAATAGTCTCCTTTCTTCATATCAGTTATCTTCAGAAAACTGTACTGAAATAATAAAATTGCTTATTTCTTACATCACACATCTTTAACAAACCCTTTCTTAATTATTGTAAATTATTTGTATATTAGATTAATAATCTACATGCATATTTTACGTTATCAATCATGTAAACAACAGGGCACTTTAAACTTCTTCAAAGTTACTGCATAGCAAGATACAAACACTGACATCTGACATCATCTTTACTTTACTAAATTTGTGGCTATAAAAGCAGAAAGGTTATGTCTCACATCATGGACTTCAATGGAATTTGGTACCTTTGTATAACATAATTCTGAAGAGAAAAGTAAATCTGTATATTTTTTGAGCTCATGGGTTTTGAGTTACAATAATTTAAATATTTACCACCTCATCTAATGATTAATCTATTAAAGCCTATTAGTGTTAGTTGAAATGTGTTGATGCTTTATAAAGTTATAGTGGGTTTTCAAGATCACTGACCTGACTATTTGAATGTGACTTTCAATTATATAAATAATAAAAAAAATTAAACACATTTGTATCTGTACTGCTTTCAGTTATATTTATGCTGAAAGTAATGATTTCATAGTCTTATGTCACATTCATCTCTGTCATTATTTTCCATGCCCTGTTGTTATGTACACGCCCTTTACACTTCATAAATGATTATGCTGTATCATTTCTTACTTATTTGCAACAAATTTTTATGCCAATTTACTTACAAGGATGTAGAATTGATCTTCTTCATAAAAATTTCTGTTGCCTTGTCCATTTTCTCATTATTTACTGCGTAGATGCATTCTGTTGTTGAAGCTGGATTAACTTCTGTCAAAAGACGTCCATTCTCTGTGTGGATATCCGCTTTGATTGATAATAAATATAATTCAGGGATCTGGTGAATGCAAATGTGTTTGCATACCTTCTTTTATCAGCACAGAATGCACATTCTAATTACTTCTTTCATATGGACAAGTCATAAATTCTGACATAACAAGAGGGTGTCTAGTGGTCTTCCCAGAAAAGAAATACACTTTCATTTGCAGCTCTGAAGTTACAATTTCAGAGTCCTATTCACTGATTTCACTTTCATTATCCTCTTCCTCTGTTGCATTCAGTGACTTTTCTCTGCAAGATTTTTCAGTCTTCTATAGTTTCTGTTTCTGATACCTAGAACAATTTTTTTTAATGGAGATTCACCAATGAATTTGGAAGAAGAAAAAAACTTGCAAAATGACATCATTATCATTTTACTTATACTAAGTACTACAGCACTTTCATCATAGTAAAGTCTGTAGTTTCCTCCTTAGATAAGATTTTTAAAATTGATTGTTAAAATTTAATTCACACATCTTCTTTGAAACAGTTCTTAAACTTTGCAGTCTGAAACCATTCCTTTAAATAATGACTGACAGTACATAACCCACTTTTTGTTCTTCATTTAAACTGTAATGTTTACTCTTAAAACAGAAGTACAGTTTACATTCACCCAACCACTATAATATACTACATATTACACTACTGACATACAGAATGCATGTTTCTTTTCTGCACATCTGACTGCAGACATTAATAACAATTAACAGAACTAGCACTGTAATTCTATTGCTCAAAGAAACTGTCAACCTACATGTATGGAGACAATGGGTAAAACATTATAAAGTATTGTAAAAAAAATTACCATCTACCAACCTTACCAATCAAAACTTCCCAGTTACTGCTATTTTCATTGACTCAAAATTATGCAAAAAGAAAAAGAACAGATGGTTAATGCTTATGATTGATGAGTATCACTTATGCATCACACACCTACATTCCTTTTGTAATTTTAGAACACTTATAGAATAATATTCTCTGATCCAATATTTATAGTTAGAGGTGTGATACAGAATGTTCAAGAGTTCTGAAAAGCTGTGTGAAACACAGCAGAGTTTATGGTTGGGCAAAACATCAAAAGGGCAGATGAATGCTGTTCATAATTGTTTTGAGTAGCCATCAACTACAACATATGCTGAGAATAAAGAGAATATTCATCAGTTTATCTCGACAAATGAAGAATCGGCACTGATAAAATTGTATATGTAAAGAGCATCAATCATGGGAAGTGTTGTAAGAATTGCTTATGGCAAAAGCAAAAATATTTCATTCAGACAAAATCTGGAATTTTATGGACTGCTTAACCAAATGCACTTTAAATCTAATAAGTGTGAGATTATTTTGTTCCAACTTATAAAATTGCCTTTAATTTCTGACTTACCTGCATACAATATAAAATATGGGAATCTCATGGAAATGCTCATTTGGGAATATAATAAAACTAAACAGTATTTACTATAAAATGAGTCTTGTGTCAATTTCTTTTTAGGTATGTTTACAAATTTGCTAGAGAAGAGTTATTTTGAAAAAAATACACAATTACAAATTTATAGGATAAATACTTCATATAGAAAACTATGAGCCTGTTGCAGTTCACTCTTTCATTCCCCAAAATCACAAACTGCGTACAATGGCAATCATGCTCCTGAACCCGATCTTCAGGGAACAAGCAAATCATCAATACTGGTGTTCCATTTATACTGGAAACACACAACTAATGCCCTAAAGAGTGATCCAACAAAAAAGAAGACATTACACTCCACATTTTAACCAACACATCATAATGAAATAAGATTTGAAATCTTCTGAACTTTAAAAACAGTGAATTACATATCCACAAGATGAATTTTTAATATAACCCAGGAAAACTAGTTTTAGACTGAATTATGAATTTCCAGTCCCTATATAGTTTTCTTTTAGCGACTAATCTTAAAACTTTGCATACCGTGTACCGTATTAGCATATAAATAAGCACACAAACAACTATTAACTCTATAAAGAAGACACTATTGCCATATGTGTTTCAATCTTAACAGGTGGCATCAGGGAAATCAATTCATTTAATTAAATGGCTCAAACTTCATTTAGAAAATAAATAATGAATAGGACATTTGATGAAAAGTATTTTAAGCGACACTGCACCAACTGTTGTTATTCATAGGAATAGACTCTGCACTTAGCTATTTATCCGGTGGTCCGGTGGCCGTAGTTGGTCTGCGGCAAGCTGTAGTTCCATCGTCCATACCTGTGAACTCTCGCCCACTGTTCTGGAGTTCACAGGTACGGACGACGAAACTACAGCTTGCCGCAGACCAGCTACGGCCACCGGACCACCAGATAAATAGCTAAGTGCAGAGTCTATTCCTATGAATAACAACAGTTGGTGCAGTGTCGCTTAAAATACTTTTCATCAAATGTCCTATTCATTATTTATTTTCTAAATCAAGTTTGAGCCATTTAATTAAATGAATTGATTTCCGTGATGCCACTGATGATGACCTGTTAAGGTTGAAACGCGTATGGCAGTAGTGTCTTCTTTATAGTGTTAATAGTTGTTTGTGTGCTTATTTATATTTTAGTGACCATTTTTAAGTCACAGATATGGTACAATCAGTGACCAAGAAAATGATAACCAAGTTGGACCACCCAAATCATCTTTTGCTCATAATATGAAAATTAAACACAAAATGAAATTACAAGGATGATATAGTAAAGGATGCCAACCAACATTAATCTCACGCTGGGGTAAATCAGTGCTAACAGACATTTACTAACATATGCAACACAAAACCTGCACATTTCACAGGGTAAGCAAAAAATTGCTTTATGTTTATATTACTACAGAAATTGACAAGGAACATTACAGACACATGCATATGTTAGTTTCTTGAGCGATAAATGACCACAGGTATGGTGAAAGAAACTTATCAACTTCCCATATCTACTTGTGCAATTGCTTCTATCACGTAACTGCTAGTTCATCTGTGCGGAAATAAAAATTATTTTTTTTCACTACCAATACCGTCTCTCCTTTATTTTAACACGATAATTATCACTCTATGTTCCAGTATTCCTTCTGCTTCAACTTCTCTGTGAACTGATAAATGAACCTAGTACTGTGCTAGAAAGTCTTTGCACAACTTGGCATTCAAAGATTTATGGTACTGCAGTCACCCATATCATTGATGTAATTATGTTTATATTGCAATCTGCCTTCTGCTTTCCCCTTACCATCTGACAGACCCCGATGGAACAGGTTGTCACCTACATTTCAAAACATAACTTTTAAACTACTCAAATACCATCCAAAAAGCTCATCATAATTGTTACACGTTCTTATTAACTGATATTACTGCATCCTTCTTTATGCATTATCTACCTCTGTCCCTTTCTTAATGGCTGAAAGGAATATTAAAATTAAAAAAGTAGATATTTTAAAGTAATCCTGATTCTTAAATGAACACCTTCCTTTTCTGTCCCATTCTTATTTCAATATAAAAAACCAAGAGAGGACAATTACACAAGTAAATAAGGTACTTTAGAGCCATTATGAACCTCTTCTAGCAGATCTGGCATGTTTTGAAGAAATAGTGTGTTAAAGGCTTGTAATATATTACAATGCAAAATGTTTCAGAAACATCTCAGTATGTGCAAAAATCATATGCAATCATATACTGCAGAAATAATACAAATTTAAATGTTGTTTAGCATCCTGGCAACTGTTCATGGACATGCACAATTATTTTTACTTCAACAGCTAAGGGGAAAGAACCTGGGTGTGAGATAGCTGGTTGGAAATCAACTATGAAACAAGAAATAAAATAAGACAAATTAAATCTAATATTATTATCCTAACATGTCCCAATAAACAGGACTGTGGAGTACTAAACTTTCCACAGATGATACTACAAACTGAATGAAGTAAAAAGCAGTTTCAATATTGTTGCTGCCCTATGAAAGTAAGATGAGTTTCATTCAGTATGCCTTTTCATGAACCTGCATAATAATTAGGTTACAAGGAAGTTAGTGATGAGCTGATGCAACATAAACATAACTGTAGAAATATGACGTGTCAGAACTTAATGCTACTGTTATGACAGATGAGACTATGTCTCTGGAACTGGCCACTAATAGACCCTTATAAGATGTATTACTATTCTGCTTTGATTCCTATCTCAATTATTATTTTCTGCAATCATGTGGGGAAAAAACATTACGTTTAAGTAAGTTACAATAAGACTGATTTCTTAACACCATATTCCTTGCCTCCATCATCACCCTGATGATGGAGGCAAGGACCTCTGAAACGTTTGTAAACTACCAGACTACACAGTGCAATAACCCAGAAAACAGCATATCTTCAGACTTACTGCCATGAAAACCTTAAATCCTACTGCTGCAAAGTAATTTAAAAACGTGGTACAGGGTGACCGAAAAGTTGCACCATAAAACAAGATTGTTAAATAAAGGATATAAAGGAATACAACACTCCAGCTACCTTACACTAGGGACTGAGACCCTGATGCACACTCGACAGGAAGCTTCTGAATGCTGATACCAGCAGTTTTTGTAATCAAAATTAAGTTAATGACTTAATTAAATGTTAGTCCAAATGCTTAAAAGTATCTACTTTGACATATGCAAAAACTGATCAATGCATTAAGACACTGCAACAAAAAAAACCCTCAAAAGCATGAAGAGTTTACACACAAAATTTAATAGCTTGTACCAATACGAGCAACTGAACAATTCTGAATTCCAAAGCATGTACAAGACTATTTTAAAAAATTCCAGTCATAATCAGCAACTGAACAATTCTGAATTCCAAAGTATGTACAAAACTATTTTAAAAAATTCCAGTCATAATGTTATGCTAAAGTTGAAAACTAAATATGTTCAAGAACGAACACTCTCACTCAAGTCATCTTACCTCCTTTGTAGTAATGTTAGTGTACGCACACACACACACACACACACACATAGTCCATCACTTTAAAAAGAATGCAATTATCTCTGTAGTCTCTTACATTCATGTGAAAATATATCCATGTTTTCAATTAGTAATATGTGATACAAAAGTCCAACATAACCACTTTACAGAATTAATAACACATCCAAAGATATTTATATTTGGTATGCTACCAGCCCATCACTACTTGGAATATAAAAGAGTAGAGTCATTTGAAATTAAATCAGCATTTTAACATTAAAAATAGGAATAGCCAGTGTACTGACTGTAAAAGATAATATACCAAATGGAATGCTAACACTACACATTACTAGTGATAAAAACACACAGATCCCACAACAGCCATGACTTAATGATACAGTATTACAGTATTTACATAATTCTTACTCTAATTTCTCTTTTATTCCAATAAGACAAGCGAACATTTAAAAATATGTAGATAAAAATTAATGAAAACTTTTTGTCACCAAACTGAACTACAAATACAATATAATAAAATGTAATGATCTATATTTTCCTCCCTGTAACCAAAACTATTGTTAGTGTAATAAAAGGAGAAGCATTAGGGACTGCTGTAGCATGTTAATTTAAAAATCACAGAACACAAATCTTCTGGCTGCATACATAAGTTCAAATTCACAACACATAAAACTAAAATTGTTCATTCATTAGCCTTTGCTAGCTCATGAACTTGCAAAGAAGCTAAAAAATTAAGTCCTTAGAAATAACCTGTGCTGCAAATACGCTGCTTAGGTACGAATCTTCTAATCATCGTCATCACCATCCTCATCATCATCACCAAAATTGTACTTTACTGGTTTACGAGCTCGTCCACCAACAGAAGCTCTCGGTGGTGGAACATAACCATCATCGTCATCATCATCGTCATCATCTTCATCAGAGGATGCTTTCTTTCTTGATTTCTGTAACAAGTAAAGTAAGAAGCCATTACACGAGGCAATTTTTACATATTGACATATACCATGACACCAGAGATCTGTCTTCATATTAAATACAAATTTGGTAAAATTACAAGAATAAAAATCAACTGACCATAATTCTGGAGCTCCATATTCGATGTAAAGGTCACCGAAGAGCTTCCACTGGAAACTGAACAACCTACTGTTTTTTCCACTAAACAATACATTAATGGCAGTTTCACTTGGTGCATACATTACTACTCACAAACATGCCACAACAATATATCTGGATATTTTATGAGCACCATGGCTTATTGGAAAATCTTTTTTGCAATAACATATAAAAGTTCTTGTATAAAACACAATTGTGGTGTTTTTTAAAACTCATCATCTAGCAATATCACTTACTTCGGCAGTGTCATAATGTATACTGTTTGTACATTCAATCTATAATTATTTTATTTTGTTCATTCTGCCTACATTCCCCAACATGACAAAATAATTATTCATATACACAATATTATATGTTATGTATAAGAAGAAGTTTTGTGGTTTCAATTAACCACCCTACCATATAAGTGGGTGTCTACTGTATAAAATATATGCCACTGTTTGCAGTAATGCCAACATATCTTTTGAAATAAAACTAAAATTGTTTACTTTCTGACTTTCCAAAATAGTGCTTCAATAACCCACAATTGTCAGAAAACTCAACAAACCTTTTTTGCAGGTACTGCAAACATATCTTCATCAGAATCAGAGACATTTCTCTTCTTTGGTGCTGCCTTTTTAGGGGCCCTCTTAGGCTTGTTTTCATGTATATTTGACTTAAAGAGAGTCTTCTTTTTGGGGGCTTCTGCAATAATATAAAAAAGTCAACCGCACAAAGCCACAAGACACATTACTATGAAATATAAACAGACTAAATTAAAATTAAATGAACATAAGACTGGCACAGGGAAGGTTTCAGGCACACTTGCATTGATGGAAAATCCATATTATTGCATGAAATATAATTACCCTGCTTCTTCTGAGGTGATGGAGGAACATCCTCATCTGAAGACAAGACAGCTGCATCTGTTTTAACTAATCCTTTTCCACTACCATTTCCACTTATAAGTGAATCAAACATTGCATCTGACGATACTTCTCTCGCTGAAATTTTACATAAATATTAATAATGAGAATGATTTTGAACTGAATGTGTGAAGCACAATAATACTGTTAAATAAGCAAATAAATCTTATTGAACTATTCTAAGGCTACAACGGTGTGATGTAATTTTAAGTCAAAATGTTACAAATTTCTATCAGAATATGACTATAAGGTATGTCTCAAAAAATAAACAAGCACTTTCATAATTTTATTAACATTAAATCTTATACTTACGGGCTTGAGCAGGTTTTCGCCTACTAGTAAAATCATCATCTGAATCTGTCAAAGGTCGTTTTTTATGATTACTTCTGCTCTCAAATTCACTATCAGTGTCACTTATGTCAATTGTCTTAGATTTACTGTAAAAGAAAAGCATATTACTATTTAATTTCAAACAAAAAATGCTATAGTAAATTATATTTCTGTTACATGTTTCTTAGCTCTGCTTACACATTATCCAAAGCTGCATCATGGACAGGCACATGATCTCCATTCTCCATACTGTTGTCATGGAGCTCAAAGTTGTCATTGTCATCGTCATCCTCTTCACTGTCATATTTAAACTTAAGGTTGGCAGCTATATATCATGCAACAGAAGTAATGTGCATTATTTTCTTTTAGAGAAATAGCACCCTTTGCATTTAATGCATGAGGTATATTTGGGATGACTGCAACATTTACACAGCCCCACCTGCAGTTCTCCGACCTGTTGTCCTTTGTGATGGTCGGGGTGTATTATCATCAGAACTCGGCGCTTCTTCTTCTTCCTCTTCTGAGTCAGTTTCCCATGGACTCTTTCCTTTACCCTTTTTCTTTGGTGAACAAGATGACTCTTTCCTAGGCTTCCTTTGTTTTATCTCTGTAATGAACACAAACATAGACCACCAATATTGGGAAAAATACAAACAAACATTAAGCAATTTGTTGCTGAATTACGCAAGTTCATTTGTGCCAGCATATGAGCGAACACAAAGAAAAGATGACAACATGAAAATTAACACATTCTATGTATCATATATCATACTATTCCTTCCTACAGGGCTACATATGGAGAGGTTAAGAAAATACTAACATAAGGCCAAACCTACAGGTTCTTGCAATATCCAGAAATGGTTGAAATACATAATTTTCATGTCCACTTTCTGACCCAGAACAACTCAGTGTCTCAGAATGAAGATGATAAATTACAATTGCTATATTTACACGAGAGAAGACGATGGGACACAGAGAAAACTGCATAATGATGAGCTTAAAAATCTGTACTCCTCCCCAGTATTATCAGGGTGATTAAGTCGAGAAGAATGAGATGGGCAGGGCATGTAGCGCGCATGGATGGGACAAGAGGTGTGCACCGGGTATTGGTCGGGAAGCCTGAGGGGAAGAGACCGCTGCTGAGACCTAGACGTAGATGGGAGGATAATGTCAGGCGGAATTTATGGGAGATAGGAGTTGAAGGAGACTGCATTTCGTTGGCCCAGGACAGGGTCCGGTGGTGGGCTTTGGTTAATTCGGTGATGAACCTTTGGGTTCGGTAAGCCATCTAGTTAGTTATATTTACAAACCAAAATAGCCACAACAATGAAATAACTTGAGACAAGTACAAAAACACATCAAGCTTAATGCCATATACAGTGGTTCACATCCTCACTTTTGCAGCACTGTGAAACCCACAAATGTAAAATGACAATGCGACAAATAATACCTGATAATATTCTTTGGTTTCACAGACTACAGTTCAGGTCCAGTCCAAATAAATTTGGAGAGAAACCAACTCCAAAGTCATAAATCAGATACTCGTATGTAATGTTGTGACAAAGGCTGCATTTGCCAATGGAACAGCTTTGGCTGGCTGCCAGCAAATGAACAAATGGTGTAGCAAATCACAGCAGTGTAGACATTCAATGTGTGACTAGCAAAACTGAACACACAAAACGTTGAACATGTTCTTAAATAGCGGCTGACTGTAACTGAAAGGTATTCTGAAATTTTGGTGTATTTAAGAGCCTAGCTTCAACATTAGTACATCAAATCTTATAGCTAATGAGCATTAAATCAGTAAAAGAAGAAAGAATAAGTTTTTAATTAACCAAAGTGTAACATACATACCTTTTCGTTTTTCATTCAATTTCTTTTCTATATCTTCAGGTGATGTGCCTAAACGATCTGCTAAAGTTTTCTGGTTTCCTTCCATCATATCAAACTCATCCTTTTCTTCACTGAGCAACTTTTCTTTCTTTACCTTCAAAATAGGAGGACAATATGAGCACATTAACCTGTTGACGCAGAAAGTTTAAATACCCAGCATATACCGCTGTTGTGCTGTGATGGCGGTAGTTTTTTTTAAATGTCCATTTAAATTTTGCTGTAAAATACTTTTTTTTTTTTTCCATAACTTTTGAACTATATGAGATATAATTATGAATTTTTCACTGAAATCCTCTTAAAAGATGGTTTTGTAATCTTACCTTATAAGATGAGCACTCTGTGTGTGACCAATGGGAGCAAGTGGATCAGAAGTTGAGAACGGAGTGTACAGCAGCCGGTTCTTTGCATAATAAGATCTGATTGTAGGCTTTTGAACAATGTCCATCAACATAAATAGAGCCAAAACCACGTAAATTTCGTCTACTGACATCTTGCCACTTCCTAATCCTAGATCGAAATGTGAGAGGATGGGCACTTTTAGAAATTTCTTGCTTAGCATATCTGTTGGTTTCATCTACAATGAGCTGCACAAGAGCTGTATCGAAAATG